GATGGAGGTCGTTAATGGATCCTATGGAAGAAGAGATTGTCCTTTTCTGTGCTTAGGGGTTGTCATCAAGCCCTTTCCATTGTGGGTGATGTTGTTGGGCATAGGGCAGTGATTACTGCTGTATGTGGCAGTAACAATAGTCAGATAAGGAGGAGTATTTGGGAACACTTGAAAAATTTGGAAAGTGAGATAGGTTCTACTCCTTGGGTGATTGGGGTTGACTTTAATGTCATAGCTGAAGCCCAAGAAAGTTCTCATTTTGATATCTTGGGCTCACATACTTCCTCTGATATGGAAGAGTTTCAAGGATGTTTGGAGGACTTAGAGGTACAAGATCATCCTTTCATATGACCTCTTTTTACATGGTCTAACAAGCAAGAGGGATCTTACTTGACTAGAAAATTGGATAGAATCCTAATCAATTCTCAGTGGTTGTTGGAATTTCCAGATTCATTTGTTGAATTTAAAGCTCATGGAGTATCTGATCATTGTCATGGGGTTATTTGGACTCAGAGGTGTGCTCAAATCCACAAACCAAAGCCATTTAAAATTTTCAACTGCTGGACTGCTAATAAAAATTTCTTGAGCATTGTTAAAGAGTCATGGCTGGAGCATTGTGAGGGAAATGCTATACAAGTGTTGTTTAGCAAACTGAAAAGATTGAAGCTAATATTGAAAGAGTTGAATAGGAATTACTTCTATGACATTTCTAGTAGAGTGGCTGGAAAGAGGGTTGAACTGGAACATATTCAGCTTTTTAACCTTGGTCATGTTAATCAAAGGAGAATGGAGGATAAAAAAAGGATTTAGGCTGAATTAGTTGATCTTGAAGTTGCTGAATCAGATTTTTATAGGCAAAAAGCTAAGGTTCATTGGTTACAAGAAGGTGATTTAAACGCTAGATTATTTCATCAGAAAGTTGAATCTCATAAGAAGAAAAATACCATTAGAGCCATCAAGGATGAAAATGGGCAGTTTCTTGAGACTTTTGATGGTATGACTGCTGAGTTGGTGGATTTTTACAGCAAGCTTATTGTTACATCCTTTGGGTAAATGATATTCTGCTGAGTGGTTGAAGGATCTCTTGAATTACTCATTTCTTGTTGGTGCTAGGGAAACTCTAGATGGAGAGGTGTCTGACAATGAAATCAAGGAGGCTCTGTTTAGAAAAGGAAAAGATAAAAACCCAGGTCTTGATAAGTATAATTCCTGGTTCTTCAAGGTTTCTTGGGATATTGTTAATAAGGACTTCCTAAATACTGTGAGGTACTTCTTTCAGACATCTTACTTATTGCTTGCCTTTAATGCCATAACTATTGTTTTGGTGCCTAAGTCCTTGAATACATGTAGGGCAAAAGAATTTAGGCCAATATCTTGTTGTTCAGTAGTTTATAAAATAATTACCAGAATTTGGGTCACTAGGCTAGCACATTTCTTTCCTGGCATGATTTCTTCTAGTCATTCAGCATTTGTTAAGGGCATGAACATTGCTGATAATACTCTACTAGCTCAAGAGATTGTTAGAGGATACTCTAGGAAGAATCTCTCTCATACATGTGCAATAAAAGTTGACTTGCAAAAGGCTTTTGACTCAATTAGTTGGGATTTTCTGCTGAATGTTCTTGAAGCTATGAGACTGACTATGAGGTTTTGTGATTGGAATAGGGCTTGTGTTACCACTCCTAGATACTCAATTTCCTTGAATAGCAGCTTGGTAGAGTATTTTAGGGGTGCTAGAGGAGTTAGGGAAGGAGATCCATTATCTCCTTATCTATTTGTAATAGTCATGAATGTTCTTTATTTCTTGCTGGATACAGCTGCCAGAGATTATATTTTTCAGATTTCACCCTAAATGTAAAAGGATCTCTCTTAGACATCTTTGCTTTGCTTATGTTTTGTCATGGTTTTATGGACTCTGTGTTGGGGGTTGTAAGTTTCTTAGGCAAATTTTATGAACTATCTGAACTCAAGTTGAATGAGGGTAAATTAGAGCAGATTCAAAGAGCTACAGGGTTTAGAGTTGGACAGCTTCCTGTCAGGTATCTTGGGGTACCCTTGGTAACTCAGAAGCTTTCGGGGAACGATTGCTCAGCTTTACTGGTGAGAATTAAAGATAAGTTGAGACAGTGATCCAGTAGGAAATTGAGTTTTGGTGGGAGGTTACAACTTGTAAAGACTGTTCTTTTTAGCATCTTTAATTATTGGAGTAGGCAACTTATTCTACCTAAGGGAGTTATTAGAGATATTGAAAGACTTTGAATGAGATTCTTTTAGAAGGGCAATGATAGCTCGACTAGAGGCGCTAAGGTGAGCTGGAATCAGATATGTTCTCTAAAATCCGAGGGAGGTCTGGGCTTAAGGAATCTGGCTGGCTGAAGCAAAACTTGATGCTTTATGCTTGTTTAAAATCTTTTAGCTGGTGAAGGGTCATTGTGGATTGCTTGGATAAAGAACTACTGTTTTAAACTTGAGGATTATTGGAGTGTAGAATGTAAGCCTCAATTCAGCTGGATCCTTAGTAAACTGATCAAGATGCGTGAGGAGACTAGGAGATTATTTACTACTTCTGTCAATTAGTCATATATTAAAGGAGGCTGGATCTGGGATAATATTCAGGAAATGAGGGATAGGGTAAGCTGGCATCGGTTCATTTGGTTTCCTGCTCATGTTCCAAAGTTCTCTCTAATTGCTTGGATGGTAATTCTTGAAAGACTGCCTACTAAGGACATACTTGCTCGATTTGGTATGGTGACTGATAATATTTGTGGCTTATGCGATGTTGGGATTGAATCAAAAAATCACATCTTCTTGGAATGCTCTTATTTGAGGGAGGTCTGGGGTGTTGTTATGCACTCTTGTGGACTGCAGCAGCAGGAGCCGAATTGCTGGGAGGACTCACTTTGTTGGATGATTAGGAATTTGAAGGGTAAGTCTCTCTTAGTTCATGTTCTTAAATTAGCATGGACTGGTTTTGTTTACTTCATATTGGAAGAACGTAATCATAGATTTTTTAGAGGATTGATACATTCGACAAATACAATTGTAAATGCTATAAAGGAGGATGTTAGGATTAAGTTGCATAGGTGTTGCATGAATAAGTTGGATGATGTAAATAGACAGTTGTGCATAGATTGGGGGCTAATCTAGCTGGTTGTAATGTTTCTTGTAGTAGCTTTGCTGCTTTCTTTTGGATGAATACAAATTTGATTATCCAAAAAAATAATAATAGAGTTTAAATTATTTTAGTTTTTAGTTTAGTTTAATTAATTTATTTATAGTTGAATTAAAAATAGAAATTATAAACAATGCCAAATGTATGGTTCTGAATGGATAATAAAGTTTGTTAAAAAACTGTTAACAGCCATATACTTCAAATGATAACAGAAAAAAAATATTAAATATGTATTTTATCAAAAAAAAAACTAAACTACTAAAATTTTAAAAATATAATTTAAATATTATTTTTAATTGAATCAAAATTAAGTTAATTAATAACAACGAAATGTAGAATTCTTTAAAAATCGAAAAAATATCATTTTGTGGATAAGTGAAAAAAAAGTAAAGTCAAGCAGTGAGAATTAACTGAAATAATACAAAAAGTATAAGTTCATTAAAAATATTATTTTTTATGAAATTAAAAAGATTATCAATATTGTTTAACAACCAAATATTTTCATAAAACTGATAAAAATTAAAACCAGTTTTTTTTTTAAATACCTCTTTATTATTTCGATAAAATGTAACGTAAAATTAATTTTAGATGCTTCAACTATTTACATAATATTTGGTGTTTGGTTAACAAAATGTAAGATTATCAGTGTGAATGTAAGATTATCAGGGAATATGATTACTGGGAATGTTGTATTTTGTGTTTGGTTGGTTTAGTATGAATGTAAAATTAATGTGTTTGGTTAAAGGAATAAAAAATTATTAGAATGTATATTTGACCAAATTGTCCTTATTATATATTTGTTTTTTTAACAAATTGAAAAATATTTATATATTTTCTTTAAAAAATTTAAATTCATAAAATTTATATATATATATATTTACAAAATTAAAAATATAAAAAGGTTTAATGAAAGGGTAAAATTTTATTTTAACCCCTGAACTTGATATAAAATTTTAATTATAGATTTTTTTTGTAAATCTAAAATAGTTTAAGGATAAATTTGTAATTTAACCTTCGTAGAATTTTTATTATTAAATGACAGAATAATGATATTTTTGAAAAAAAAATTAAGGGTGTTTTAGTCCAAAACGCCGGTAATCCAACTATTCCCAAGGAAAGGGAGCTAATGACATTCTCGGTTATATACCCTAAAAAATCTACTATTAGTAATAAAAACATTACCGGGAATGAGATTTCCAGCCAACCAAACATGGGAATATAGATTTCATTCGTATGGGAATCTCATATTCCTTTAACCAAACAACCCCTTAGTTGTATCAATTTTGACACAGAAAATTAAATATGGATCAAATTGAACATTATCGATATCTCTGAGTGCATTTGTGCAAATTAACCTTTTAATAACATTTTGTTTTTGTTTTATTTTTCCATTTTCCTTTCTCTCACGAGGCTCGAGTTGCTCCTCTTTACCAGTAGAGCTCAAGGCTGAGGCTTAAGAAAATACCTACAATTACTAGTTTTATAACCCTTTCTCAAGGCAAGGTCAGTACAAAATTTCATTTTGTTTCAAGCTTTATGCCCTTCGTTCTGATATGGTATACCCTAATTTGACTGATTTATGCTTAAAATTTGGGTCTTTTTTCTGTAAATTAAGCGATGCTCTTGATTAATTAGACGGTGGGTTCCGAACAATGTCTTTATTTTATGTCTAATACTGCTTTGCTCCTTTGGATTTGGAGCTGGTGGTAAGACTGTTGTTTGACTTTAGTCTACTATATATGACATGTGGAAATTATTGATTTTTGTTAAATCTAATTCATTTGTTTTAATTTTTTCATCGGGAATCATTTTTTAAGAGAAGCTCATCAGAAAAGGGGTAAAACTTATTTGTGTTCGTTTTAGTGAATATATATTGCTTTCTTTAATCATTTCTGGTTTGGTTTGATTTTATTGTAATTTGTAAAAAAGCAAACTGAAATTGAATTGCTATATTGTTCAATGTTCATATTCTATCACTTTTTCTGTTGCACGTGTAGTGATTCATAGGTGCCTAACATAATGTCATGGTCAAGAATTTCTAGCAGAATTTCTCTCTTGAATCGCTTGAAGAATCAACAAATTTTGTTGCATGAATCAAGGTAATCACCCGGCTACCAATATACGACTTTGGGCCTTATAAGTGTCTTTCTTTTGCTTGAACCGCTTGGTACTTTTACTTGAAGAACTAAGTCACAAGTTTTTCCATGATTTCAGTTTTAGAAATGCCTACATTTATGCTTGATTGTGAATGATAATCTAAATTGTTCATTCATGATCTTCTTCTTGCCTTTAAGGTCATTTGGAATTAGGATACACCCAGTGTTCAAAATTTTGTTCTTTTCAATTTCATATTTCTCCCAAACCCCAACCTGAATGCAATCTTGCTTCTCTCTGATGTCTACTACTTGGATAAAATTTGTGTTGATCCAGGTTTCTTCCTGATTCTATATATCATTGTTACACATTCTTTAAAGCTTCTTCTGGGCGTGGCAACAATAGTCTGATTCCAAGATGTGAATTTAGCACAAGGCCTCTAACAAAGTCTTATGATTTCTGTCCTTATGGTTCTCGATGTTTACCAAGAATACCTGCCTTTAGCAGTCGGCGACACTATGCTTCTCATGCATCCGTTGCTTCCACTGAGAAAAAATCCAAAAAGACTCTTATTTATCTTACAGCATTAGTTTTTGCCATGGTGGGAAGTAGTTACGCTGCTGTTCCATTATACCGTAGATTCTGTCAGGCTACTGGGTATGGTGGTACAGTCCAACGCCGTGAGGTGAACCCAAGTTTATGATATTCTTATTCCTATATTTTTATTATTTCATATAGTTTTTTTTTCATTTTCCTTGTGTTGGATTTCAACCATAAAATATATTTATTTCTTTAGAGTGTCGAAGAAAAGATTGCTCGGCACGAAAAAGATGGGACAGTAGCAATAAGGTGCGCTTTCTAGGCTTTGGATGTAAGAGCTTATCTTTATCCATATATTTCATAATTATGATCATAATGTCCTTCCTGTTAATTTTATTGCAATTCTATTTCAATGCTCAGCTCTTGTAGTTGTATCAGTTTTTAGGTTAAACTTGGTTCTGGGGTTTCTTTTTTTTTTTTTTTTTTACATGAGATTCTTGCAAGAAGGCGGTAGAAATGAGTTTCCATGAGAGCATGAAGTATTTATTTTTACTAGAGCATGAAGTCTTTCCCTCAATAAAAGACAGGTTATTATATTTATTATTTGATGATAGAAAAACATTTGAACTTGCTCTGTTGAAAGAAACATTTACATTGGAGAAACTACTTAAATCAATAATGGTCTTAATATGTTGTTTCTGAAGAAAAAAAAATCAATAGGGGAATTGGATGTTTTATGAGATAAAAGGTTTCATAAGACTGACTGCAAGGTGTTGCTCCCTTGTGATAATGCACTTGCTTTATATACCCATGTGGCTTCTTTACTATTGAGTAACAAATAAGAGTGAGGTGGTAGGGTTGAGGATTATTCATTATTCCACATCAGCCTGTTTGTTGTATTCAGTTCAATCTAATATTGGCATTTGTAAGAGGTGCTATTATGAAGCAGTTAGACTTCATGATAGAATCTTTCTTGTTCTTCTATCTATATGTTTGAGAATTTTGCACTTATCCTTGCAGGGAGATAGTAGTCCAGTTCAATGCTGATGTGGCAGATGGAATGCCCTGGAAATTTATTCCTACACAACGAGAGGTTCTTAACATTTTTTATGTCGCTTTTGGGCTTTGTTAAGTGCTTTCTTATTTCAATTATTTCCTCATTTTTATTTCTCTGCTAGGTGAGAGTCAAGCCAGGAGAAAGTGCCCTTGCTTTTTATACTGCTGAAAACCGAAGTTCGAAACCCATAACTGGCGTTTCTACATATAATGTCACCCCTATGAAGGTATTGATGCATATGATCTAATGAAAATTGGGCCAATGATTTATTTATTACTTCTAAATTTAAGTTACTGCCATTTGTTTAGATCTTTGTTGATCTCTCACGCATTACTTGGTTATAGGCCTCTAGGATTTTTTTACTATTTCTTGCTAGCTTTGGTTTCTCTTAGTGTTATTTAGGCTTGACCATATACTTACTTTTTTAGTTTTTGATATTATTGTTCAAATAATTCAATCTTTGTTGCTTCTTTTTAATATTTTCTAGTTTGGATTGAAAAATTGTCTGACAAGCTCTTCTTTTCCTTTATCCTCTTTTGCACAGGTAGATCCTGTGACATAGTATAATCTCCTGTTCTCTCGCCCTCTCTCCGTGTCTAAATTTATTTCCTAAATATTTTATTGGAATCTGCGTTTAATCTATGTCTAACCTCCCAAGTCCTATCAAGTATGTTTGAATGTTTCTTTCGTTTATGGTAATAATTTTGCTTTTGGGGCTTCTAGGTGTCATAATAGGACAATGTGCAACAGTATTTTTATCCTGGTCCAGCACTGGTCTTCTTACAATCATAACCGAAATATTCTTGACTAGGTTATTATCAATTTTGTGATTAAATTCTTCTGTTGGTTGGAGTCAAATGTTAGGCTAATTGCTTTTGATTGGATGATCCCATTTCATAGTGGGGAAAAAATTCGGTCAACATCTTTTGATTATTCTTTTGCTAGAAAAAAGAAATACTTTGCTTCCTACTTATGTAAGGTAGGCCTAAAATTTCCAATAGCTAGTTAAAGTTCCAGTGTTGAGATATAATCCGTGAGGCAGGTTAAAGTTCAATTTAGAGCCATGCAATCGTTTTTGTATGCTTGTAGTAACAGTTGATTTCCTTTATTATCCTCTATTTGGTTGTTTTACATGGTTTTATTATGCATTTTTGTGAATCACCTGACTAAAGAAACACTGTAACAAGCATTTTTAGGAAAGGGACGGAAATCTTTGTGGTGACAAATTGGTTATGTTGAAACAGATTAACTTACTGGTAATATTTATCATTAAGGCGAGGCTTAGAATTGACTTGATTTCTTGCACTTTTTTGTCTCCTTTCCAGGCTGCAGTTTATTTCAATAAAATACAGTGTTTTTGCTTTGAGGAGCAGCGTCTTCTTCCTGGAGAGCAGATTGACATGCCTGTAAGCCTTTTCTATAAGAAAATAAAGAATGTTTTCTGTTGTAAAGGCAAAACTAAGTTGTGATCTTTTTACTAACTTGGCTTGTTTTGTTGCAGGTTTTCTTCTACATAGATCCCGAGTTTGAAACAGATGCCAGAATGGATGGTATAAACAACATTATCTTATCCTATACTTTCTTCAAGATTTCTGAAAAATAAAAGGGGAAAATTGAAATTCATTGGTGAAAATAGAATATCATTCACATGAGAACAAAAGTGTTGGGGTTCAGGGAACCAAACAAAAATTTAAGATACCATTTTCATCTGCAACAACAACTAGGAAATTTTTTTTTTTTTTTGCTGAATACAGAGAGAAAAGAGGATAAGCAAATTATTTTATGAAAGAAATACAGGAAGAACATTTTTTTTGTGAGAAATCTCTCCACCTTATTTTTGGTGGAAACCATGTTACTTTCTATTAGGTTCTTTTCGAATTCCTAATGCAACAAAGCCAACTGCTTGTAGCTATAGATTATGCCTGCAAAAAACATTCAAATCATAGTGAATAATATGATTTCTAGAGGAGATATAAGGATATAAAGAGTAAGCTTTACTTGCAATCTTTGTGCTTGGTGATGAATATACCATCCCTGGTAGATAACTTTCAAATCCTATATCGTAAACTGGGGTACCCTTAGGGTAATAGAGACCATAGTTCCTCTCTGATGCAGGACCGGGTTTTAATTCCCATAAAAGTCTGAAACTGTATATGTCCATCAGGATATTGAGTTTCATCCGTGTGCCTCGTTTCTCTTCTACTCTTTTCAACAGGTTGCCATTGTGCGACCCTGTATTCTCTGGTGTAGCTCCCGCTTCATTCTCGTCACCTTAGGAATGCCGGAGCTGGACTTCGATAGTGGTATGCCTCATTGCTTTGAAAGCTGAATAAACAGCATCAACTTGAGCATACAACTTGTTATCGTATTTCAAATTGGTAATTGGATCCACTATCCCTTGATTAGGCTGGAAAAGTACATAATCTAGTGGCACTTCGTTAGGGTGATCCTTGTGTGCAAAATAAGGATATGCATTGATTTAGCTCGAACATGAAAATTAAGAATCTGTGAAGATATTCTCCATGATCTTGCCGGCCGAAAGAGGAAACTGCACACTTAGGATATCAAGGTAATGCAAGGCAGGGACAGTTACTTGTTTGTCAAGGATGAGTTCAACAAGACCATTGTAAACTGCTTGCGTTGCTGGGAGGAGGTTAGATGTTACAGCCTTTCTTGACTACGTGTAGTTAGTTGCATTGTTGGAGATAACATTAGCAACAAAGGGAAATGAATCAGTTAGACAATCTGTTAAGCTGAATTAATATTCTCAAGTGTTTCGGGGAGTTCTACTGTATGGCGGGTTAAGATGCGGCTAAAAATGGGAAAAAATAAATTCAAGCTAAATTATGATAGAAAAACACTATTTTAGGTTAAACGTAACCTAAAATATAACTTCTTTCATAATATTTTTTATTGTAACTTAAAATATTATTTTCTTCGTAATATTTTTGGTTGGCAACTGAAAATGTAATATTCTTCGTAACATTTTAGGTTGTAACCGAAAATGTACTAAAAATGTTACATTTTAGGTTGTGTCTAGCCTAAAACATAATATTTTTATCATATTTTCAGTTGTATTTATTCTCGACATATTTTAATCTTAAATGGATATTTCTTCCTGTTTCAATACCGATCCAGCATTTTTTCCTCGAGTTCTTAACATTTGACCGGAGGTTTTGAAAATTTCGTTCCCTATGGTCATGCAAGTAATCCGAGTCCAAGGAAGGTGGGGTTGAACTCATTTCTAAACCCAGGTTTAAGCTTTGATAGGATCAGTCATGCTCAGAAGATACTCGTTACTGGCATTTGTATCGGAGAAGGCGACGAGAACTTTGAGATTGGCACGCCCGATAGAGAAGGCTGCTCGAAATGGAGATGGAAGATTGTTTGCAATTTGACCATTTTTTTTTTCCTTACTCCAAGACCAAGTATTTGGGTTGATGAATCTTAAAAGAAAAACAAGTCAACAACAAAAACAACGGAACACCATCAGCAACGAAACTTGACATTATTTGTTAAGAGAATGTTTGGAAATATTTAAATTTGTAAAGATAAACAATGAAATATATATATTTTTGGAGGAGTAAAGAATAATTTTATCATTGTCTAAATGGATTTTTGGTGCCACCACCGGTCCCTTGTAAGTTGTGCCTCTGCGCAGCCTTTAGCGACAACATATGGGCCCGTCACTATTAATGTGCGCAAATCCCTGTTTCCCTTGTTTCTGCAACGCACTCTGTTTTCGTGAATAAAATTACAAGGCAAACAATTTAACTTCAAAAATTACTTCTATAAAATCATATAACTTATAGACGAGGCTACATTTTGTATCCCAAATATTTTGGGTTAGATTATTCTCCCACGACGCTGCGGATAAGCTGCTCTTTACTCTCCGGCAAGATAATAGCCACCGGCTTCGAAATTGTCATGTCAGAAAACCGATATTATGACGAAAAGCAGAAAGATTATCGTAGTCATGATTGTGAACGTCGAAAGAGGTGGTGTAGTTGATGATATTATAACGATTAAGAACTATATTAAATTGCTCCGATCAATGGGTGTAAAGAAAGATGAGATAAACAAGTACAAGAGGAGGAAGAAGAAAAGTAGAGGATAGAAATTCGAGTTCGTCATGACCGCCGTTGAAGGTAAGATTAAGAAATTTGGGAAGAGATGCTGCGGGTTTTAATGGAATCGAGAATCGTGCTATACGTTGACGACAAATGGGAAGAACACAAGGTGGAACAAGAGGGAGTTGTCATGGCCGACAATTTCTATGTTTTGTAATTGAAGTTAATGCAAACAAAAATGGCTTCCATTGCCATTTTTTTAATGATCTTAAAGAGTTCTGCAGCTTCCAACAAATGGATTGCGACAAAACTGATAACATTTGTCTGAATAAGATGTTAGATGCATTTCAATCAATATATGCATCTGCACCTTGAGGGAACATAGTTCCTCCACCCCGGAAACCTAAACACGTTCCCTTTGAATTGTACCCAGTTCTGGACAGCCTTCTCAACTGTCAGGCTTTTTTGAGGAACATTAGCATAATGGACATAGTCACGACTCTTTGGCCATTCAAATGGTGTCATATACCTGGGCCGGCCCAATACATGTGTCAGATGGACCTTAGCCCAGGACAGCATGTTTGAGGGGCATCAAACATGGTGTCATTTCCTTTTAGCCAAATCATCCAAATGAACCCAAAAAAAATGCCAACCTCCAAACATGGCATCAAACACGCGCATTAATGAGAACCTACACCTAATAACCTAACAAAAATTATAACTAAAACTAAAATTAGAAAATGAAGAAATCATGACAAACAAAAAAACCAAATTCGAAAACTAAACCCTCAGATGACTAATTTACAAAAGGACGCTCAAGTTTGGGGGATTATAACCTAATTTACCCAAACAATTTAATATGAAACCTAAACTTAACTAAACCTAAACTAAACTCAAGCATACAAAACACCCACACAGCCGCTCAACCCCCTTCTTCCCTCTTCTTCCCCACGATCACACATTGTCTAAAATAGAGCCACCATCGCCACCATCCACGACACATCCCACTCCAAAAGGACCCATGGTCGACACTAGGCCACCGCTCGCCGATGGCCACCCCTCGCATTCCTTCTTTGTTCTCGGACGATAGGCTTCAAACGATGAAGCCCTCACATTTAAGGTAAGACCGAATAATCTCTCCCCCCCTTCACTTTGTTTTTTTCTCTCAAGCTTTTCACTAAGATTTTCATACCTAACCCTACTACTCCTCTCTTCCTAATCTCCAGACTTAATTTTATTTCAAAAATTTTACTAAGCTTAATAATTTTATTTAGAAAATTTTACTAAGCTTAATCTTGCCTTTTTTCCTTAATGTTGAAACCGAGCAGAGAATGAATGGAGTCAACAAGACTCTACTTGCATTCGATTAACCCAGGTAATATAACCTGTCCTATTTCCTTGTTATTTATTTCGAATGAAAACCTAAAGCTATAATTCCTAAGAAACCCTAAAGCCATGATTCCTAAGAAACCCTTCTTAGAAATATAAAATATATTTTATTTATTGATTCATTAAAAAAATGGAAATCAATGAAGGAAATGCTACTGTACAAAATAATAAAGAAAGAAAACCTTGAAAGAATTATACTTTTTCTTTGAATTCCTTTGATTCGTTGAAACAATGGATGCCTTGTTACGCTGCTTGATATACGAATACGGGAAAGGAATGTTGTTTACACACTATACGGTACAAGTATAGGGACATAAAATTATTATCTCGTCCAGGACATTAAAACTCATTGGACCAATGTATATACCCGTGGATGATGAGATGAGAAAGTGTAGCTTTCACATCGCATGACTTAAACACCTGAGCTTTTGGTTTGGAAGGCTCAACAATCTCTACATCATTGTGATGTGTTTCAAAATTCAAATTTGTGAAGATGTTGCAGCCTGTCTGCTTCATCACCTCCAATGCTATGCTATCTACTTTGGTGATACCATTTCTCCTCCATGCTCCCAGAAACTGCACAAAGCAACACAACAAATATAGATAGGGGCCTTTGATTATTGTTTCAGAAAGGCAGAAAGGGTAAATGTAATATCTTTTTAATTTTCAATTTCAAGAAGAAGAAGAATCCCATAAACTGCACAAAGCAATCACAACAAATATAGAAGTAGGCTTTTTTTTTAAGAAGAAAAGAGGACACGTGGATTTCCGTTAATGGGTTAACAAATGTTAACAGTCAGATTTAAATTGAACAAACCAATAACATAAAGAATTAAACTCACTTAATTAAAAAATAAATAATAAAATCGATCAGATCGGAAACAAAAGAACTGTTGGCTTAATTTACCCTTATTATTATTTATATTTTCCTATTCTATACTTTTTAATAATATCAAGAGTCAGGATTAACATCATATGTTAATTTTAAGGTTTCCCCCCTAATAAATAAGAATTCTTACGGTCGATTTGATTCTATAAAATATTTTTTTTTAAATAATTTTCATTTTTAGTTTTTTTAAAAAAATATAAAATATATTTAGTTAATATAAATGAAAATTTGAATTCAAAAATAAAAATATTGAAATATATATGGAATCTATTTTTTTAAATAGAGATGAGTGATTATTAAAAATTTCATTACATAAATTTAACATGCAGTTTATGCAAATATAAAATAATAAAGTTGATAAAATATTTCATAACACAAAAAATTATTTTAGTTTATAATAAGAATAGAATGTTAATGCATAATATATCAATTAA